GGTCAGACTACTGTGATCTTAACCATATATTGTTTTCTTGTACACTATACGATCGATCCGAATTCCTTAAAGATCTCATATCCTTACGTGTTTCCTTTCCCACATCCATAGTTTCTTTGCTCTCGTCTAATAACATATCAGTATATCAATGCATAGCGTCTTTTATAATATCAAATAATATTAAAGTCTAAATATCGTTATTACTTTTTATGTATGTTATATAACGTATATATTCTATATATATTAATATTTTCGTTTCCTGATCCTATTGCTAAAAACCTGTCGCAAATCCTATCCTTTTTCCTACCATCGTTTCCCTACCTTTGACACTGGCAAATACACAAACCGTGTGACGCCAAAAGAAAAAAAAAAAAAAAAAAAAGTCGCCATCTAGCGGAGGTGCTTTTTTAGTGCTATCTTTTTTTTTAATAGTTCCTCATTCTTCTCTCAACTAAGGATACGAATGTGTAACCATGTAAAACCTTTTTAGTTTGAAAATCTAAACTGGACATTTTGAAAAATAAAATATTCATAATTTATACTAGATACTTATATTTATACTAGATAGGGTATTATAGTACCTTTGTTGTCACAGATACTCCAAAATACGGGGTTTAGTACTCCAAAATACACATCTTACAATATGAGCCATGTATGTGATGTTGTTGAATGTTTATTTATCTATACTTAATATGTATTATGAAAATTCAAAGTTTTATTGTTTATTTTTTACATCGAATAGACTCCGAAACCACTGGACCGATTATTATATTTGATCAATCTCAAACTACCAGGGACAAAGTGGTTTTTTAAGAATTTTTATTAGGATTACTGATTAAGATTACTTAAGATACGGGTAGCTACACCATACACAGTTGACATAGGCTAAAGTTTACACAAGCGAAGTCGCGTGAAAATAGCTAGTTTATAGATATTCTAGTTTGAGATAAGAAATCTTCTGGGACTGGTACTAGAATTCGAACCAAGTATCATGATGGACTAACGATAACCGTCAAGTCTCTATGAAATCGACCAGGATAGCGGATACGACAGCAGTGGTGCACAAACACCCATACCTCAAAAACACTAATACGTGCTCTGCTAATACTGTCTTGAAGTAATGAAATCCAGAATCTGAGTAATTACTGATCAAAGTCAAAATAGGCTTACATATTTGTTTTCGATCACTAATTATTATTAAGATTCTTGATATCTATTTATTAGTATTTCGTTACTTAATATGAGACTAGAATATTCGTTTGGATTAGTCAGAATGATAAAATACTTTGTGGTTACTAAGATCTACGAAATATCAACATGTGTCAATAGTTTCAACGTTTTATTTCATTCTAAAATGACCTAAGGTTTTAAAAAATGATCTTTCTAACAGCTATTGAGTAAACATACAGTGGCGCTGCTTGACTGACGTTAGCCCAACATCATCACAATGTTTCTTATTTGCCTTTCTAAACATAATTTTATCATTGAAAAGGTACGTTATTCTCCTTTAAACGGCTTTCTTTATTGTCTATATACATTTTTTTTTTTAATTTTGGTTTAATTAAATTTTCAAAATAGTTTTGTTTGTCTAAATTAGACTTTTTTGAGCATATTCTAATTTAGTCAAACTTAATTTTATTTAGAAAATTACAGTAACCAAGCCCATTGATTCAATGTGCTAGTTAATTTGAGATGATTAATTTAATTAAATTTTCAAAATAGTTTTGTTTGTCTAAATTTGACTTTTTTGAGCATATTCTAATTTAGTCAAACTTAATTTTATTTAGAAAATTACAGTAACGAAGCCCATTGATTCAATGTGCTAGTTAATTTGAGATGATAGATAGTGTATTAATATTTCTACAATAAAAAAATGTTCATATATTACTAATTCTTTCACCCATGAGAAGTTACATCAAACGTGGGTGACTACAGCTATAATTTGTTGAAATCGCAGAAAAGTAGATAGTTTCTGAACATTTCTACAAATTATGCTGACCTAATTATTCCTCCTTTGCTAATAACAAAATATCTCCCCATAATCGAGGAACATTTAACTACCTAGTAACACTGATGATTTATTTGTTGTCCCTTACGGTGGCACGCCTAATCATGAAGCTAAAGAAATAACTGGAGACCAAACTCCTCCATACCTACTTGAAGCATAAAAATTTGACCTTGAATGTTTTCTATTTCATTCCTTAGGTCCCCCTCCTCTCTTTCTAATAAGGTGTCCACACAACTACAAAATAAAGGAGACAAGTTTAAAGAGTAGAACATTAAGGCAAAAAAAAGTATCAAATTTTCCTAGGTAGATGTAAAGTTTACATATGACATTAATAGATCTAATCTAGATTCTCCGTCAAATATGAAATTGACTTTATTAAAGTCCCGTACAAAAAGCCTTTCCGAATCTACTGGACCAAATCTTGTAAAATTTGTCGTCCTTTGACCTAAACACAGATATACAAAATAATTAAATTTGTTTTTATAAATAAGGGTTATTTTCGGGGGACAAATGAGAAAATTTAAAAAAGTTTTGTTAGCCTTACTGTATCGTACGTATACTAGTATTTAATGAGTCTCGTTAGGGGGTTGTCAAATAAAAAAATTACAATTTTTGAGTTTGATTAAAACTTAGCAGTGTGGGAATTAGAGTTGGCAAAAAACTCTTATTAATAATCACCAGCCTATTAATGTACCCACAATGGGTCCATTCCTGATTGAAGGGTTTTTACAACTGCAGATACAATCGGGACAAGCTGCTTAACGTGCCTTCCAAAGCACGGAGTAGATCTAATATGCAAAGTGAACTACAAGACTGCAGACTACGATTGTCAGCTTACCTTCCTTCCGACCGAATTGAAATGGAATAAGCACCCAGTAAATATTTCACCCTTAAGTCAATTTACTGAATTACTTATCACATTCTTCTCTTACATTCTCAGATGTAATTGTCATTCTCAGATAAAAATAAAACAACATTATGTTATTTTTAAATTTAATTTATAAGTGACTAAAAAAGTACAGTTTTGATGACAATAAATACTATTTGATTGTTACCATAGCAAGTCTATCGGACAACCTACGACAAGGTGTTGAAGGTGTAGAAGGCATGGTAAATGCATCACTTTTTAGATCAGATTGTCCCGACTGGAAAAAAAAAACGAATTATGGTTATTTTGTCTAAGCCCTGCCATTAGGGAATTAAGATATTTCGAGACCATTTTTTCATGACATATTACATTAAGTAAAATAAAAATATTTTATTCCTTCCAAACGTGAACTTGTGGCTCGACGACCTTTTTCGCTTGTGTGTCATCTTAAATACAGGACGTCGAGCCACAAGTTCGCGTTCTCACTCGCAAGTTTGTATTCTATTTTTGCTACCTAAGAATAAGTACCTAATTAGTAGAATATAGACTTTTAGAATAAAAAGGAATTTTTGTATGCTTTAACCGATTCTCTATTATAAAATCAGTAACCACAAAGTGATTACTGTATATTTTTGCAGTTTTATAAAACTTATTTTTTTATTTGACACTCGATAGCCATTGACTTCTCCTTATTAGATCATTGGGAAAACTAAAAGTGAAATAAAAAATATTAAGTTCAGTTTTATTGTTTATCCTTTATCTTCTTTTCATGGTCACCATATTAGTATTTGTTTATTTTTATTTTACAACGTGAACTGTGCTTTTATAAGAAAATTTCTGAAATATGCTACTGGAAACAATTAAATCATATATTACTTTAGATACCATATTATTGTAAATTATCAAAAATTGAAGGATTCTACGTTAAAAACATTATTTTTATAAAATGCAAGCAGTCATCAATTATAGTAACTTACGACTCACCTGTGAAATATATAAGAACATCCAGGATGCCATTTGCTTCCGCAACGTAGGACTACACATTTCTGAACCATTTTTCACGATTTGATAGCGAGAAACGATTATATATGAATCACAATTTTCGAGTCGACGAAATTAGTACTTGTCATTCGCCATATTGACACACACGAGGTTGCCATTTTTTGAGGATGCCATTTACCACAACAATGGGGAAATTTAGGAAAAAAAAATACGGTGTCTTATTCACATAGCATGGGTACGATGATGTTTGGGGTTTGAAGTTTTTAGATACAAAAACTCGATGTTATTGAGTTTATTTCTAATAGAGATAAACGGTTTTGAGATCAACATTTAAAACAGGATTTGAGAATAATATTTATTCATCAACTGTTAACAAATTTCATCGTATCCATTCTATGTGAAACTGTCTATAGTGGAATATAATTTAACAATTTATAGGTTTTAATAATAATTCAACAAATAAAATTGCAAGTCTGGATTATTGATTAATGAGATTGACATGACGACGGTAAAAAGTTAATAATTTTAATTAATTTGCAGCTATGTATCTACCTTCTGATTATAATATTTGCGTACCATTTTTATTATAGATTTTATTTAATTGTAGTTATTGCTTAATAAACCTTTTGTTTAAGTTTTTTGTTACATTGGATTGGATTTCAGAGTATATTTAATGTACAATCTTATATAAAGTTTTAAGTCCTATGCAATTAGTGACGTGTATAACTATACTATTAGTACCAATTGTCAAAAAGTTTATGAAACATAAAATTATCGAATAACATCAATGACCGGTTCCGGGAAAATTTCGATTTATGACATAGCCACCCAGGAGTCCAACAAAAGGTCAATAGAGGCCAAATAACCTTGCTTCAACCAATAGTTCTGAGTTTGGCCTCCAGTTCTTTTACTTTATCTTCATGCGCCTAATAGACTTCTACTAAGTACTTACTCTAAGGTACAAACCGTGCGAAGCCATAGAGAATAAAAAAAATGTGTAAGCGTGTATATATAGCTTTTTATTTTCTCTATGGTGAGAATCTCATATGACATTGACATTAATGACAACCATTGAGTATTTCTGATAGCTATCTCTTTCTTTCACCATACGTTTACTGCTCCGTCAAGCGTGGCTAATCAAGGCACGAAAAGGTAAGGTTTGTTTGGCTATTTTACGTTATTTAATTACAATTTGTTCTTACTCCTAAACAAAGGTTGATGTATTTATATGGTTTATATTATTATTTTTCAATGTATTAAACAATAACTAGACATCAATTGATAAAAGAGTACATACGAACTGTCCAACGTAATGCATTCCATCTGAGGCGTTGTTTCTTGATGGCGATTTGTGAAGTTATGTGAAATTTTTGTGATACCATTATTGTTGCAGAAAGATGAGCAGCTCAGAAGAGGTGTCCTGGATTTCCTGGTTTTGCTCATTACGAGGCAATGAGTTTTTTTGCGAAGTAAGTATTCGTAAAATAAAGCTATTAAATGTTCAATTGCGCATGATATTGATCTAATTTACTCAATTTTAGGTGGACGAGGACTACATAAACGATAAATTCAATTTGACTGGACTCAATGAGCAGGTGCCACATTATAGGCAAGCTCTTGACATGATCCTAGATCTGGAGGCTGGTATGCTTTAGTTTACTGCTGTAATGATGGTGTTAACAATAGCATCGTACATATTAGCCTTTAAAATGCCATTATTTTACATTTTATTAATACACATTTTTTTATCTACTCTTTATTAATTAGATAATAATGATAATTATAAAATATTTTCTTATTTTTAAAAATGTATAGATGATGACCTTGATGACAATCCTAACCAGTCAGACCTAGTGGAACAGGCTTCTGAAATACTATATGGACTGATACACGCTCGCTACATTTTAACTAACAGGTAGGTTTAAATTCATCTGAACGGAAGGAGGAAACTTTCTATTTAATTCTTCTGTTATATACCATGAATAAAATGTTTATTGCTAGTGTTTATGTGCAGTCAACAGTACAAATGACCAAATGTCTCCAATTAATTCAGTTTTAATCATTTAAGTTCGGCATAAATGGGCCGGCTCGACCGGAGTGATTCCATGGCCTCACAGAAAACCGACGTGAAGCAACGCTTGCGTTGTGTTTCGTCGTGTGAGTGAGGGTACCGGAGGCCCGGGGTTGAGGGGTAGAGGGAAGGGAATAGAGAGGGGTCTCTCTATTCCCTTCCCTCTACCCCTCAACCCTTCCCTCCCTATGATCATATTCGTCCCTCAAAGGCCGGCAGCGCGCTTGTAGCCCCTCTGGTGTTGCAAGTGTCAATGGGCGACGGTAATCACTTACCATCAGGTGATCCGTCTGCTCAACTGCCACCTATCCCATAAAAAAAAAATTAACTGGAGTTTTGACCTCATCAGCTATCATGATGTGCTGTTGTGAAAATTGAAAAAGAAGTTTATATAGAAAATTATCTTACATATGTGATATCCGTTGTTGTTATTTACAGGGGTATAGGACAAATGCTCGAGAAATTTCAACAAGGAGATTTCGGACACTGCCCACGAGTATATTGCGAGTGTCAACCTATGCTGCCACTGGGTAATATTTATTTGCAATTCAAACAGACAATTAATGATGTACTCATTTGTTTACTTTATTGTTTTGTGTGTTATATAAAGTATACCAGGCAGTGGCGTACACACCATACATACAAATAAGTGCTGCATACCCTACACATAAAACTTAACTATACCTACATTATTCAATTCTTACGTACATAGTCAAACATTAACTCAATATGAATATCCTGAGACTTATAATCATGATTTGATTAAACTAGTTCACAATTGAATTGAATTTGTTGTTAGTTTAAAGCTAATAGGAGTAAAGACATTCACAAAAACCATGTCATTACCAGATCAATACATTATAAATAGAGAAAAAAAGCTATGGTCTTATAATGATAACATAATAATTTAATAATAATCGAAACAAGATGATTTTTTAAATATAATGAGTTTAGAAGAAATCACCTATACAGTTGCTGGGCCATCTTAAGTCCAAGCATTCTTTTCTAGCATTCTTAATAAGCTTTTTTGATAAATATTTTTTTAATATTAGATTTCAATTGCATGATATCTATTGTAGTATTTTACTTGGGACCTTATTGTAGAAGTGCACACAAAGAAACCCTGAATTATTAACTTTTTGCAGTCTAGTGACAGGCACCATTAATTTATTTTTATTTCTTGTATTAAAATTGTGTATATAACTTTTTATAGAAAACAAACTAATATTTTTACGAATGTGCATTAATTTTTCGTAGATGTGTTGAGAAGCAACAGTAATTATGTGTATTTCCTTAAATTTCTCCCTTAAAGAGTCCCTAATCCTAAGATTATAAATTGATCTAATTGCTCTTTTCTGAAGCACAAAAATCTTTGTTTGTCGGCAGCATTTCCCCAGAATGGGATTCCGTACGACATTACACTATGAAAGTAACTGAAGTATACTAATCTGGCAGTGTCTATGTCAGTTAACCTACGTATCCTCATTACGGCATAAGCTGCAGAGCTAAGTCTTAAGACAATATGTGGGCTCCACAGTAGTTTAGAACCTAATGTTATTCCTAAAAATACAGTGGTTTCCACAAGGCCCATGTTCTTATCTTTTATTTATATTCACACTTATATCTACTTTTTTAACATTAGGTATTACAAAATTTTGGGCATTTTGTTTTTCCTTCATTAAGGAAAAGATTATTTACATTAAACCAATGTACTACTTTAACGATAGAATTGTTCACTTTGTCATTTAGAAGTAGCCCTCTTTTAATTTAAAACAAAAGTGAAGTGTCATACGCAAACAAAACTATTTCGTGATTATCCCTAACGAAATAAGGCAATAATATTTTTAAACTCACACGATTTGTATACATTATAATTATACGTAAGCGGGTCTTGTTCGTGCATAACTGCAACCTGCACGAACAAGACCCGCTTACGTATAATGATAATGAAATAAGGCAAGTCATTTATGTAAATTAAAAACAAAAAAGGACCAAGTATTGAGGCCTGCGGAACACCCATCTTGACTTTCGATCCAGGGAATCTTTTTGTCATTCATATCAACCCTCTGTACTATGTCAGTCAAGTATGAGACCATAAAATCCAACGAGTTATCTCTAAATCCATAGTAATGAAGTTTCCTAATCAATGTGTCGTGAAAAAACACAATTAAATGCCTTAGATAAATCACAGAAAACACCTAACGCATCATGTGAATCCTCCCAGGCTTTAAAAATTCCTTGTATTAACTCGACACCGGCTTCGGTTGTTTAGCGACCCCTTCTTAAACCAAATTGTTGTCGATTCATAAGGTTATTTTTGTAAAAGTATGTTTGTATTTGATCCAGCATGATTTTTTCGAAAAAATTATAAACATATGTAGCACGGATATAGGTCTAAAGTAAATAGGGTCAAATGTGCTACCGGATTTATGTAAAGGGATAATTTTACTATATTTCATGAGCTCAGGAAAAATACCACAATCATTACATTCATTAAATATATAAGCTAGGATTGAAACTTATTGGAATTACCCCATAAATCAGCGGTTTTCTTTTTCTTTAGCTGATTAAAAGATTTTATTATATCTTAAAAATCAATGTGTTGAAATTTAAATTGAGTATTACAATTATTTTAATTTGCCTTTAAAATAGATTTAGCAACAGTGGAAGAGGAATTCAAAGATTTTGTAATTAAGACTGGAGTTAAAACTTGTATTCCGGGATTTTTTTCATCCAGTTTCACTATTTATGATATTCCACGTCATTTTAACTTTATCTTTACTATTTTTAATTTTTGCATATAAATAATTATATTTGGATAAACGACACACTTTTTTAAATAATTTAGAGTATTTTCATACATATTCTTTGAAGTCCTCACTTGTGTTATAATTACGTTCATCATATAGTTTATAGAGCCTTTTTCTGCTTTTAAGGATTCTTGGTGTAGCCCAAACTCTAAAAGTTACAGGATTACTGATACTATTCTGATTAAGATTTCTTTAATGTTTATTCATTAAAGAAATCTTTGTACAAATCATTGGGATTACTTTGATGTTCCAAATGACACGATTTACTATCTTATTGATATTTAAAATGTACCAAGCGACACATACTTTTTTACACAACTGTAATGCCTCTCCTATCCTCAAACGTACATATATGCGGAAAGCTAGCTATTTGTCCAAAATGATCTGACGGTAGTTCTTTAATTATCTGTTTTGAAAGTGGTACCAGATCTGTATAAATATTGTCAATACATGTGGATGAAGTAGCAGTTACTCTAGTGGGCTCCTTAAACATATGTGAAAATTAAAGGACATAAATAGATTTACAAGTCTTGTACATGAATTGGAGTTTCCCTAATCGTTTGCCTTTGCTATATACCTTTTTTATAGCTTCATACATAACCATTTCGAAAACATAATAATGAGAAACTAAACTTGAAGGAGGTCTATATAATACGCTCAGTACAATCAGCTGATTCAGCTCTATGTAGGCACTCTCTATTATTTCCTCAACCAATAGACCCACAATATCTCAACGTTCTTTAAATTTAAAATTTTTATTTTATAAAAGTAGTGTACCACCACGCATTGCGTTTTTCCGAATGAACGAACTACCGAACGAACCAGGTAATTATTGAAGTTAAAAATGCAATTGTAACTTGTTAACCAATGTTCCGTTCAACATTCCTCGTTGGTGCACCACATTGATGACTGACAGACTCTAGTCGATTATTACTGACAGTCACGTCAATAGAATAATGCTCAATAGGAGCAATCTGGTTAGCCAAATTTTTGGCTGTTATACAAAAAAAAAATGATAGCGTATTAACTATCTTTCTCTTATAATAATTGGAAAGATAATATTTATCTTTGGTCAAATCTATATTCAAATTGAAAAAGAACTTTTCATTAACAACCTTGTCATTTTTACAACGATATTAATTGATGAAATTATGTTCCGGTAACTTATTTCTATGTTTAAACACATTAGAAGTTACTATGCTGAAAATTGGTTTTGTCAATTTTTTGTAAATATAAGTACATACTACATACCCTATACCAAATCTCTGTGCACGCCACTGATACCTGGATGTATTGTGAAAGAATTACCAAAAGTTTTACTGCCCTTAAATCTATAAGCAAATTCATCTCTTATTATAAAGATATCATGATATTGATTTGGTAATAAATTGCATACCTGACATGGTCTTTTTCATTTATTTGTGACTTTTTTGAGTTTATAGCAAAAATAAACTTTGCTGACAAAAAAGTTACATGCAATAAATTGATACATTAAGGTTTATTTGTGTGGGGTCAGGTCTATCAGATGTGCCGGGTGAGGCGATGGTGAAGCTGTACTGTCCTCGTTGTATGGACGTGTACACGCCGAAGTCGTCCCGTTACCACCACACCGACGGCGCATACTTCGGTACCGGCTTCCCGCACATGGTCTTCATGGTGCATCCCGAGTATCGCCCTAAGCGCCCTGCGTCGCAGTTCGTGCCTAGGTTTGATACATCATTAACTCTTATTTTAAATAAGATTTTATGGCTTTTGTTACTTCAGTCTCGGAGCACGTTGACATAAAATCGTATTTGTGACTGGAATGCAGTTTAAAACATATATTTACTTATTTGAGGCTTTCTGCCAATAGCTTAGTTTCCCGTAAAGTGCTATCCATTTGATACTTTAGCCTATTATCCGTCACTTTGACCCCTCCAACACTAGTGGAAGAAAAAATACTAGGGCCCGACCTACTTAACCACTCCAAGCAGTAAACATGATGCAACAAAACAAGATGGCCGAATAAGAGAATTTTCTTCATATGGAAAAAAGTCTGCCCAACTACGGCGCGCCCTCATTTTTCTATACCTAAGTCACAACGGAAGTGGCGAACTAGCAGACGATATTAAAATAATAACGTGTCACACTTATCTTACGTTCGCAGATTGTACGGGTTCAAGATCCACCCGCTCGCGTACCAGATTCAACAACAAGCAGCGGCGAACTTCAAAGCGCCTTTGCGGACCGTCTCGTATAACAACGGTAAACGCTAGGGGCGACGCGACGATCACGCCTTCGACCGTTTCTGATACAGATAAATCCTCGGTTCCTAAATTATATCATCATCGCAGTGTCTATTGGACGAATACGTTACAGTCGTCCAAACATCGCGACCGTTCAGTGTTAAACGCATGTATTGTGGGGTTGGTAATAAATAACAATTCGATGAGCAATATTTTAACTTTTTATATTTTTCTACAACGGCGTTGGTAACTATACTGAACCTTGCAATACATCTATTGTGTTCCTTGTTTTCCAAATCTTTCTTGCTTCTAATATGCTTCGCTAGATAGATTTAGAAAATACTGTTGTGTAAGCCCTGATGTTGAAGGAGTATCTGTATCACATGAGAACTGGCATATTCAACGAAACACGACATGGATGTTTGTGCTGTGGCAGTAAGTTAAGAGTTCAACCTGTTGCCGTTTTACATATCAACTGATTTTGGATAAAAAGAGATTGGCTTTAGAATGAGAATCTTATTGCTCTTGAAATTATTGGATAATAAAATATAATACCATATAATTTTAGCTCAATAGGCCCTCCCAAAAAGACAAATGTATAATCCTTCAGTATTATTTCTCTATAACAAACAAGCTTTCATTACTAACTTTAATCTGAGTCAACGGATATAGTAACTGTACTAATGCAATAATCTCTGTGCAAACTTAATGTTTGACTACAGTAAACCAGCAACAGGGTAGTATTGTACTAGCAGATGATAAATTCACATCGAATCATTGGTTATTGGTATGAATATTAGATATTTATTAAACATACAATGCGTTCGATGTTTTTCCTCATTGATTAATTTGTAGTCGTTTACATTTCATCCGATGGTAAGTTTGATGTCACCAATGTGTTGTAGTTAACGTAACTTCTAACACCTGCCTTAGGGCAGGGTTGTATAAGTTTTTATTTTTATATCCAAACACGATAGCGTAGATCAAATTTATGACGCGTTAGCCACTTGAGATTTATCTAAATTCCTCTCTGTATAACGGTATCGGTAATTATAAATAAATAATATCACAAGTATTGGCCTTTTTTCTTGCTTATCCTGCATGATAACCATATATCCTTACGCTGAACGCATTAAAGTATTTGAATATGGACATAAAATATTTAATTTTTGAGTTAAAACAGAAGAATATTTAGTTTTTCTTTATAAATAAAATAGTAGTAATTTAGCTAGTCATCAAATGTATTCTCTTGCTATTTGTTTAAAGTATTATCACACTAAAATTTTCACAGCTCATGTCCATAATATAATTATTGAATTGGAAATTTCATGTCTAAACCTTGCTATAAAACGTCTTACCACATCAGGTAGTGTTACATTAGTAGTCTAAAATATTTCATATCAAATCATTGATGTGGGCGTAACTCCTTTTTCTATCACATTAAGTTGTCGAGATCAATGTTTCTACTTTAAATATCATCTATGATGAGACTCGCAGCAGGTTCTCAGTGGCATAGAAACTGTCAGCAGTAAACTAACATTTTAATAGAAAAAAATGTTTGTTTGCCACAGAAACGAAGACTACCAGAAACATTCAATGATTAATTACCCACCGAGTGCGTGCCTCTGGGGCCCGGGCTCTGCCCCCGCAGCCGCGCAAGCTCGCGGCGGCACCGACGGCGCTTGACGATACAAATTATTTTCAACTCTAACTAATAATAATATATTTATTAAATAGGCACATAATATAATTACTCCTTGTTTAATAACATCTAATCAATAAATGAAAGGGTTATGTTTCAAATTAAATAAAGTTTATTTTTATTGTTTTATGTATTTTGCTTTTTATTTAATTTACACCTATATTTTTGTTACATTATCTCTTATACATATGCAACTAACCCATATAAAAGCAATCACAGATAAATGAGTTCTTGTATCAGTCCTGTACACGTAATTGCATTGTCATTTTATAATTGATTCCACAACATGTCTGGATTGTGAAGAGCTAAAACTCAATCATGAAGCCTATGAAGGAATTATATATTCACATAAATGACGTAATAACTCAGGGTTGTTTATTTCTTTAAAGGTACTAGTTTGAATACACATAGTATTCTTCTTGATGAATTTCAATGCTGCAGTTTTCAGTGTCTCCGAGTTGTATGAGTCTGCAACAATTAATATCTCCAAGGCATTTTCAACAGACATCCTCTCAGAAAGAGCATATTGAGACAGCTCCCTCAAACCTTTCAAGTTATAACGATCGGCTAGCATCAGCATGTTGATGCAGTTACAGTTTTCCAAATTACTTATTGTTCCTGTATAAATGCATTCCAGAATACATTGCAGATCTTCATTGCCAACATCTACAAGTTTGACATAACTATTTTGACTCTCTGCAGTTTCTTCTTTTAGCATAGCTTTGAACACATCACTATAACCTGCTAATATAACCCTGTGTACTTGAAATTTCACACCATCTGCAGACTCTATAGTGAAGTCAGATCCAATAGGATCAAACAGTAATGCTTTGAAATCATGATTGATCTTTACTTGGTCAATAAAACCCTGGCAACTACCTTTATGCTCTAAAGAATCAAATGAGATGAATATATAAAGACTTCTGTCTTTAACTAAATCAATGTCATAGCTTGAAAAGCTGAATGTTATAACATAGTTTTGAGAGATTTCTTTCGATCTTTTAAACCTATGTTCTACCAAAGACTGGGTAAGGTAAACAGCTGCATTCTTATTGTCGATTTTCATATTCTCAGCATTTCGACTAATAGCAAGGCCGAATTTATTTTCTTGACGATCGTAAACAAATATATGTAGAAGAAAGATGTTAGAGATCTGTTCCGTTTTGTACATGAACCAATAGTCTGCAATATCTTCGATATAAGTTCCGCCAATATCATAGAAGTTGGGTCGGTGGAACTTCTGGTAAATATCGCTTATACAAAGCCACTTCGCATTACGGGTTTGGCAGACCTTATGACCAAATATTACACTTTCATCGTTCTGGAAAAAAGGCAGACGATTATGAACCAAAACTAGCCAACAGTTCGGAATTTTAACTATGATTTCATAACGTTGCAACGACAATGCCATACGTATTAGTCAGATATAAGTGCATTAGTCATCGTTCTATAAAGGAAAAACATAAATTCATGCTTCAACTACAAATGTAAATTATATATATAAGTTAATTAATATTTACAGGCAAGTGACCAAGATCTTCAATCTCCATTTTATTGATGAAAAAAGCTTCTTTGAAGTTCCTCTCTCTCTATAACAATTTAAAATTTCACTATCTTTTCAAAACTAACCCAACTTGCCAATAGGGTTCAATGACAACGGAAAACCGATATATACCGATTTATTATTACAATGTGTACGTGTATAAACTAAAGCGTTATTCCCAATCTATTTAGTGGCACTAAGAAATTTTCCCATTGTGCAACGAGTTAAAAGCAAAGAGAACAGTAAGAGCGCTTGTGCACTACACTGAATTTTCATGTCGGGCGGTCCGATTTTTTCAGGTCCGATATGTCAGGCCATATGTAGGTAATGCGCGCTTGTGCACTGTCAGGAATTTTACCGTCCGGAATTTTACTTTTCTCTATTCCGGACCGGTTTTTTCAGGTCCGTGATGGCGGCAATGAAAAACGTATTTACGCTTGTGCACTGCTGTGTCCGAGATCCGGAAAATTCATAAGGAATAGGCTTGGGAAAAAATAATCGATTTGAATCCATATTTATTTCGGCGATATTCTTAATTTCCAATAATCTTATAATCGATATTGTATATTTATTGTTGATTATAAAATGCTATATTTTATATGATGATTTAATATAGTTGGTATATATCACTGCATATGCTTTGGCAAACTCTAATTTGATCAGCGTATGGTTAGCTAGATTTAGCTAGCTAGATTTTAGAATCGTATTAAAAGTATCGATAGCTTAAGGTAAGATAAATAAGTGTTGTTACGCTTAGACGCCTAAACAACTGAACTCATCTAAATGGAAATTAATATAGTAAATAGACTTAACTTTAAGAAAGGACATAGGCTACATTTTATCGCGAAAAATAGGGGATGAAAGTTTGCCTGGAAATTTGTCATTATCAAATTTTTTTAGACAATTGATAAATATAGATAATTTGACAACAGAAGTAATAATAAAGAATAAACAGAAGATTAACAAAAGTAATTAAGTGACACTCAATGTCTTTTTCGCATTTAATAAAATTTTAAATGTATGTTTGTGTCATTAATAAATTTAAAAAAAAATAAGTGTTCTAAGGGAATAATATTTCTGCTCAAAGAAACTACAAACGAAAAATATATAAAACTACAAACGTATAAAATTATGCCTATATATAATACAGTCAACTGACCTCGTAAAGTTCATTTAGCATAATAATACTCCGCTAACACGGCACTAATTTCGATTTGTTTACGAAATGGCGCCACCGATTGGTCTATCTCTGTAATCGCTGAAAGTTGTTTTTACAAAACTTCGGAAAAAAAATAGCACGTTTAAAAATTTAAACATCAAGTACTAGACCATTATCAGTAATTTTATTCTAATGTCACAGATATTTTTAGCTATTGTATGTGAATAATGCTGTTCCTAGATTAGTAAGGGTATAAGTTTTTACATCTGATAGTAGTCATCCGATTTATTAAACTATATTAACCATAATAAATTGCCATAATTTATTATAGTTTATGTAAATCGATCAGATCATTATTTAGGTACCTTTCTACGTCTTCGAACGGAATTACCGACGTTCAAAATCTCATCGTACATAGCGTAAGTGACGTGTAGCTTCAAAGAGAGCTGCCCTACACTGCACCGCTCCGATCAGGAAAAAAACGGACAAGTGCACAAGCTACTCATCCGAGTTTTTCATGTCATTCCGGACCGGAAAAAATCGGACCGCCGGACCTGAAAATTCAGTGTAGTGCACAAGCGCCCTAAGGGCGCTTGTGCACTACACTGAATATTAACCATAATAAATTGCCATAATTTATTATGGTTTATGTAAATCGATCAGATCATTATTTAGGTACCTTTCTACGTCTTCGAACGGAATTACCGACGTTCCAAAATCTCATCGTACATAGCGTAAGTGACGTGTAGCTTCAAAGAGAGCTGCCCTACACTGCGCCGCTCCGATCAGGAAAAAAACGGACAAGTGCACAAGCTACTCATCCGAGTTTTTCATGTCATTCCGGACCGAAAAAAATCGGACCGGAATGTCCGGCGGTCCGTTTTTTTCAGATCCGATATGTCAGGCCATATGTAGGTAATGCGCGCTTGTGCACTGTCAGGAATTTTACCGTCCGGTATTTTACTTTTCTCTATTCCGGGCCGGTTTTTTCAGGTCCGTGATGGCGGCAATGAAAAACGTGTTTACGCTTGTGCACTGCTGTGTCCGAGATCCGGAAAATTCATAAGGAATAGGCTTGAGAAAAAATAATCGATTTGAATCGATATTTATTTCGGCAATAGGCTTGGGAAAAAATAATCGATATTTATTTCGGCAATATTGTTAATTTCCAATAAACTTATAATCGATATTTATTGTTAATTATAAAATGCTATATTTTATATGATGATTTAATATAGTTGGTATATATCACTGCATATGCTTTGGAAAACTCGGTATAGTTCTAATTTGATCAGCATATGGTTCTAGTATCGATACTTAGCTAGATTTTAGAATCGTATTAAAAGTTTCGATAGCTTAAGTAAGATAAATAAGTGTTGTTACGTTTAGACAACTGAACCCATCTAAATGGAAATTAATATAGTAAATCGACTTAACTTTAAGACCTTTCTTAAAGTTAAGTCTATTTGCTATATTAATTAAGGCTACATTTTATTGCGAAAAATAGGGGATGAAACTTTGCCTGGAAATTCGTCATTATCAAATTTTTATATACATGAAAAAAATCTTAATGAAGACATAGGCTACATTTTATTGCGAAAAATAGGGGATGAAAGTTTGCCTGGAAATTTGTCATTATCAAACTTTTTTTAAACAATTGATAAGTATAGATAAATATTTGACAACAGAAGTAATAATAAAGAATAAACAGAAGATTAACAAAAGTAATTAAGTGACACTCAATGTCTTTTTCGCATTTAATAAAATTTTAAATGTATTTTTGTGCCATTAATAATTTAAAAAAAAAAGTATTCTAAGGGAATAATATTTCTGCTCAAAGAAACTACACCACGCGTATAAAATTATGCCTATATATAATACAGTCAACTGATCTCGTAAAGTTCATTTAGCATAATAATTCTCCGTTAACACGGCATTAATTTTGATTTGTTTACGAAATGGCGCCACTGATTGGTCTATCTCTGTGATCGCTGAAAGTTGTTTTTACAAAACTTCGAAAAAAATAGCACATTTAAAAATTTAAACATCAAGTTCTAGAGTACAGTAATTTTATTCTAATGTCAGATATTTTTAGCTATTGTATGTGAATAATGCTGTTCCTAAATTAGTAAGGGTATAAGTTTTTACATCTGATAGTAGTCATCCGATAGTAGTAAAAAAAATGCTTTCGTCTTGCCATAATTTATTATGGTTTATGTAAAACGATCAGATCATTATTTAGGTACCTTTCTACGTCTTCGAACGGAATTACCAACGTTCCAAAAATCTCATCGTACCTAGCATAAGTGACGTGTAGCTTCAAAGAGAGCTGCCCTACACTGCGCCGCTCCGATCAGGAAAAAAACGGACAAGTGCACAAGCTACTCATCCGAGTTTTTCATGTCATTCCGGACCGGAAAAAATCGGACCGCCGGACCTGAAAATTCAGTGTAGTGCACAAGCGCCCTAATAGTTAAAAGCAACACAACAAATGTGACGTTTCTCGGGCTACCCACGACCTATATTATTCTCTATGGCGTGGCGTATACAGGATTTCCTATTAAATGAAGTAGGGAAAGGGTTTTTAATATTGAATGAAGTAGTTATCGAGTCTTTGTCATTGTTTCTTTAACAAAAGTACAAATTTGAAAAATATACTTATTGTAAGAGTTAATAGTTTAAATTTTTAAACATGATGCATGATGTTAGAGGTCCTACTTCACATACCGCTCGTATATATTTTTTTTTTAATAATGAAGGCTCTATTTATGTCTACAGAATGTACCTTAATACTGATGCAACAAAACCATGGTATGCCGTAAGAGCAGTCTTTTTGTAATTTTTTTAAGGCATTTGCCTAAAACAATCAATAAAATAAAAAGTAATGGCCCCAGAATACTACCTTGGGGTAACAGCGTATCTGTTGAGTTTAGATTCTAACGTATGGTATTGTTAAACAATTACTTTGGTTGAGTCGGGTTAGATCTTCGTATTACCTACGATCCTTAAGATAGGTCTGTAGCCATTTTAAAGCTGGACCTCTTATGCCATATTTCTCACATTTATTTAGTAGAGTCTTATGTTATACGAAAAAAAAAACGCTTTTTTCATATCCCTAAATAACCGAAACAGGTATACGTTTATCTATATAATCAAAACAACACTAGTGATTCCAAAATTACCATAAAAGTTCTTGGGGTATCCCTAGTCAAATGTAGTATGTACATATTATATTACTCAATCCAAATACCTTATCCACTTAGTTTAGTTATTGCAGTTGCCTAAGTATACAAATTTAACTCCGTTGTCTTAAAATCGAATATTATAACACGGAGAAAAATACTAGATGAGCATGACACGTACATACAAATATAGTCTCCAATATCTTTGCATAGGGCCGAAAATCGTGTGATTTGTTACTTACTTTCCTCCAGTGTTATTCACCCACGTGGTCTCATTTTGGTAGGATAAATAGTGGCTTATACTTGATTCAGGCTTAAAATTGTCCGTATACCATCAAAACTTTTCATTTGTTTTTGCGTGAAGAAAGTGTCCCTGTATACTAACAATACTTATGTTTGTTTATGCGGGTATTGATGTGCGTGTCTCTGTGTCTGTATTGTCATACACAACATAAAAGACACTCAAATGAATGAAGCACATCACATTAATTAGTAGAATCGATAGGAGAATCACTGATGAATAGTGAAATATTTAACATCTACTTTACACAATTGTGTATAAAATGTATATAAAATATTCCGGATGTTGGAGGCCTGGTGACATGTAAAACGGGTTTTACACTTAAGTGCAGGCACCAGTCTCCACAATAAATTTTGATATCCTTGATACATTCTATACAATTGTATATTTTTTTGGCATTGTGGAGAAAAATAAAGAAATATCATTATTATTATTGTTTAAAGAAATACTTTGTGGATCAAGTATTTAAACTA